TAATTATTTTTATAGATATCGTGTGAAATATTTAAAAGTTGTTTATGTAAAGGTACTGTGTTGTAATCAAATCGAAAAAAATCAAATATCTGAGTAAATCCTACTTTAATTATTCTCGCTCGTTATAGAACAGTATAATTTTTGTCCAGTACAATAAAGATATCAGTTTATAGGCCACGAAACTTATTAATTCTCGTCTTTAGTTTCATCCTAAATTTATTATTTGATATAAAATACGAATAAAAAGAGAAAGCTATCGAAAGCTTATTAAATTCTATAAATAATCTATTCTTTTCTAATAATAGACGTTTTCGTTTGTCCATTTATCTCGCCATCTAAGGCAGGTTATTCCGGGTCAACATTTTGGGGTTATCCTTTATCCATGAAAATGAAGGGATTTATTAACCTGAAACGGATGATGTTACGGGCACACTTCACCTAATTTTGGGGTATGTTTCCTTCTTTTATTTTCTTTTTGCGATAAAATAATTTTACATGTATTTTTTTTCTAATTGATATAGATATTTGTAATCAATAATTTTTAATTTTTTGTGGGTATGTTATTTGATATTTCACTAGTTATTTTTGTTAAAATAGAAGGCAGATTTTTTAAAAGAAAATATATGTTAGCATAATTAGTCAGTCAGTTTGTTGATGGTCGTTGTCCTGGTGAATGTAACACTCAATATGTGTTCTAGTTTTCATGAGAATTTAAATTAATTTAAGGCAGAGAGCAAGGCTGATGGAGCACCGTCATTCAGATTAATATGATTTATTATCGGTGTTTACCATTACCGAGAGTTAGTTTGATACATATAGATGTATCAGAATATAATATAAATATTTAAAGATAAAGTCGCGTTTAATTTCGTCTATTCTGTAGGATTTGATTCTGCGTTCGGTCCGTTCGCGCTGCAAATACTGCTGTTTAGTTTCTAAGGTGTGGTGTTCACAGCTCAGTGAGCAATAACTGTCAAAGCTTGATTAGATTCTTAGAAATATAATAACTCTACTGGTACAGATATGTTCATATTATATTATTTATATACTCGTATATAACCGATTTAGCCTGAAGGAAAAGCAAGCTGAAGTGGCAATGGGCTGGTCACATAGTTAGAAGAACCGACAACTGGGGAAGAAAGGTTCTCGAGTGGCGAACGCAGTGTAGAATGACCTTTTACTAGATGGAGTGATGACCTCAAATGCGTTGCAGGGAGTCAGTGGATGCAGGTGGCTCAGGACCGTTCCTTATGGCAGTCTATGAGGGAAGCTTGTGTCCAACAGTGGACGGATAATCGCTGAAATGACGATGGTGATATATATAATAGAATCTAATATCCATAAAATCATATTAATTTTCACGAAAGGTGTACAATATTTGTATTAATTTGATGTCATCCATTTTCGAGTTATTCTTGGTATTACAGCTACAGCGTTTCTTATTCCATATTTTATTTACTGTTGCTATAAGAAAAACATTTCTTTTTATTAGCATATCTTATTTCGCATTAGGAATTTGATAAATTCTTCTGATATTTTATTTTATTATTTTTGTGGGAAGTTTACAACTATAATAACTGAATAATTAAATATATATGACAACAATATGCAAATTAAAAGTTACAGTATATAATAAATAAATAATGACTTAATAGATAACTCAATTCGTTTGCCCTCTTTTTGCCATTTGGGGAAACAGGGACGACATCACGTGACTCATGGCATAACGCATCCCCGTCGATGATTAAAAGTACCCGTAACCGGCGAGCGTGTATAAAAAGATTGATAAATGTGGAAGAAGCGAAAGTGGTTTGTTTGAATCGCAGCATTTGGCGTTCCATTGTTTCTACCTACCCTAATGGGAGACAGGCGTGACAGATATGTATGTATGTATATAGATAACTCAAAAAATGGCTACCTATTATTCAGTACAGTCTACACAGCCGTTCGTTTATATAGGCAACGGTTACCATTATCGTATCACTTGTCATCTCGTTTACTATTTCATGTTACATAGAAGGGATATTTTTATATAAAAAATAGTATGAAATAAAAACGTTAAGTGGAAAACAAAAGCGAAACAATGGTAATATTTATACAATTAATATGTATAAAGGTTGGCCGAACTGTTGCCAATCACACGCAACTAATGGGCCTGAATAATTGGCGCACAGTGACGTGGTGAACCACGGGGAATTGTTACTTTCAGCGTTTGAGTGCTGTGTAATGACGGTTAAGGCGTGCGTAGATGACGGACGGTCTAGAACAGTGTTTCCCAACCTTTTTTGTGCCATGCCCCACTTGAATATTTTTAAAATTTTTATGCCCCCATACATATTTATTTTTCCCGACAAAGTTTACTTGACGACTCTTATTGCCCAGTTGATATTTTGGTAATGTCAAACGAAATTACTATATCTAATAAATAATTACAGCATTTTTTAAATTTACTTTTTTTGACAAATTTGGCACCGATATCTACTCGTAGCGTTGCATTTAAATGGCCCGGAGCAAGAGGGTTAAAATCGCTTCGAATTCATTTTTATTTTACCCCCCTTAACTATCAAATTGCCACTCTGTGGGGCGTGAGCCCCACGTTGGGAAACACCAGTCTAGAGACATGCTTTTGCACATTTTTACAATTACATTTTGCTCTAAAAAAACAGTAGTAACTACTCATAATAAAATTAACGTTGAAACATAGTATTGAAATAGTATTTTTTATTTTACAATTAGACATCCGTCCGGTTTCGTTTTTTTCGAGTAGATAGAAGAAAGATTAATTAGTATTTTATATTAGTTTTCGGTGTGGTCAGTTCACCGTGTGGTACTGACATAGAATAGGCCACCCCTTCCTTTTCCGTGCGTGCCGTAAGAAGCGATTAAGGGAGGACGAGGGATGGGCGCAGTGTCCCTTTTAAAACATTTCCAAAGCCTAACTGCGGTTGTAAATCCGCTTATCAAGCGTGGCAACTACTGCCAAAACCCCCTTTATGTGAGAGGCCTATATTCAGCAGTGGGCAGTTTACGGCTGATATATACAAGTAATAAAGCTGTGACGTCAGTCGAATCAAGCTTGACTGACTGTAATCCCCAAGTCCTATGGTCGTATCCGAGTCAATATCTCAGAATTTTAAAATCATGTTTGGAATATTAAAATTTTTATTTATTAAGCAACGCAAAGCCGTTGTCCGGTAAGCCACATCACAAACATAGAGGGCGACACCATCACTCTAAGGAGTACAGAACTGAATCACGTCTGTATTAACCTTTATATTGAAAATCAAACGTTATTGCTGATTTTACGACCCAGTACATTGATCTTCCTTTAAATTTCATATTAAATTCATGTGTAATTAGTATTCAGTCGTATAAATATAAAGGCACGCGGAGTACCCGATATTTTAATAAATGTTCAATATCAAAGCCAGTGTTTGTATAGCATTCGTTTAACATATAATAACGTGACATTTTATGTACATACCGCTTTGATTGTGAGAAGCAAGCCTTCAAGATACGGTCAGGAAACTGGGTTTGATTTCAAAGGTGATTCACATGTGGAATATTTATTGCAATGCCAAATGTATGTAAATACGCCAAATATATAGCTTTAGAAGTGGGAACGAGGGGTGTTTTAAGCGACTTTCGAAACGAAGAGGTTCTTAACTTGTCTGTATACTAGTCATGGTTATGTTACGTGATCATGTTGCCGATTTCGGATTGATTTTGACACTTTTTTTGTAATTGAAATGGTTTATTCCTAAATTGGTCCAATATTTATTTTGCGACGACTGAAATCGTTTTATTTCCTTACAGAGCAAAGAAACGGTTTTTCGCGAAGTGTAATACATTTGTACATATACGTTTTCTAGTTTTAAATTAAAATATTTTCAATCTAAATGTGTTTATGAAACATTTTGTCGTTTATGGTGACTGGTGTTGCTTTTCGGTGCGTAGACAGTTACATAAAGCTATGTTATTGCCAATTAGAGATCCACTAAGAAAGTACTGGAAATGTTGATGGGAACAGGAAATAATTGATACCAGGGAAGCGAAGCCGCGGGGAAAAGCTAGTATACATCAAGTTTTAGGTCACGATTGTTTGTTTACATAATCTCGTATCAGCATCTCATTTTCAATGACGACAAGATTAATTGGGCCGTCATACGGTTGGCACTGGATATGTGCCACGCGACAGCCGCCATTCAACGCCCTCGCTTGTATCGAGAGAATCAGTTCTTGTCAAGCTCCTTAATAGCATGCAGCTAAGTAAACTAAGCTTTGGTTTAAGTTTGTTCATCGTTCCACGAAATACATTATAAAGTATAAACTTTTTGTTTTTAAAACAAAAAGTTAAATTAGAAATAGAAAATAGTAAAGAGTTGAATGTCATTCAATGAATTGCCTTCAATACGCTCTTACTTTTTTGACGCATTCTTTGTTGACTATTAATGACTTACGGAGGCTTTCTGATAGGAAATTATTTAGAATACCTTAATTGGAAATTTTCCTGGAAGTTTGAAATTCGACGCTTGATATTTAATTTTTCGAGAACAATGAAATTCGGCCCGGACAGGTGGAATGTGGCAACGTTTCAGAGTTTGTAACAATGAAAGGACTTATCGAAAGTACAGAATATTGGAAATGAACGTATGTCGTGGCATCTTTTGTTATTTAGCATAAAGAATACGATAAGAACAGCTTGACGGCGTACATGTATTAAACCATAGGGAAATATTACACAAAAGTCATTCGCATGCGTGTGTCTGTTTCATTCTTATTATTGTCGTAAACCAGAGGCCCTACCATGAAACATTTTCTGAAATTTCGGAGCTGAACGAAACAATAACTTGATATTAAAATTACATTATACATACTGTTTAAAAATATTAAAATATTGTTCTTTTGGATGATTATGTCAAGATTTATGATAAACGAAAGGTTAAACCCCATTTACCGAACTGATTTAGGTATAAAAATGTAACCAAACTGTACTGGTATCAACCGGAGCACCCAGTAACTGTGTGTGCATGTAGACAGCATTTATTCGATGTTCCGTTAAGAAGAACAGAGTTGACGAAACAAGCTCCCCTCTCTCTTGCATTGAAACTGCTCGATGATATTTTAAGTCAGTGTCCGCAATTAGTCGTGTTTGCCTCCAACTTGTTGGAGTTTCGTCGGATGACCACAGAGTGTTTGTGTTCAGAGATTTAAGATACATAAATATAAACAATTACAAGATATTAAATCCCAATCGCTAAAAGCGATTTCTTCGAGGTAACTTTACGGTATTATTTTCATAAGTCATAGTTTTAAAAATTAAACAAACGATAAATGACTGCGTTGTGTTCTCATGAGACAAGAGATAAGACAAATTTTGATGTAGTGGTTTTCTTTTTTTTTTTCTGTAATCTATAATAATGAAGACATTGTGATATATGACATATAGTAATATTTATATTAAAAGAAGATTTGCACGCCATTTATGGTAAAATATGGAGGCGTAATAACCTATTAATGTACCATCTGTAATAACCCATATTTGAGCAAATAAATTATATTATTATTATTATAAGATAGGCGTCTTTATAAGTTGCATATATAACAGTACCTATTGCAAACTTTATCTAAACTGATGTTCTATTGTAGGTATTCAATTATGGTATGAAAAATGCAAGCTGATCGATACATTATAAATAGACATGCAGTGACCTGTACCTACGACCACTATAACTTGACCCATCAACTTCATTGGAATGGTCAATAGCGGTAGTATTGTAAATTATAGAGCACTCACTAAACGAACATGTTTCAACTAACGCTGGTGTATCGCGCGTCAGATTCCATTATCAGGTATATGTCACTTGCGTCACAGTTTTAATCTATTTCTTTGAGAGCTATTTGAGTTTTTACATATATTTCTATAAGAAACTTTTTTTTAATGGGTGTAAATGGAATAGTAACAGCCGTGCTATCGGTATACAATAGCGGGGCACCAGCGAGGGATAATAGATGAAGATGAAGCTGGCCAGCTAGCCCACCATGAGGAACTTAATAATAAATCAATCACGACGATTTCCAGTGGGAACCGCTAGGAGGTCGACCTGACAAGGTATAATGTTAGCAATGGATTTGTTAGACCCCATTTCTATTATCTTTTATTCGCGTATGGGGTAAGTTAAACCGATGCACGTCGACCCGTTGGGATATTTTGTGCTTTCCTCAGCCTTATACTATAATTTTATAGATCTAAAATTTTACTTTTACGATATCCCGCGAATAGCCCGAATTACTAACAATACCTCCCCCCCCCTCTAGTAGACAACTAGGCAATGAATATTTGGGGGGCAACCTAGAATACTAGGTATTCATTCTGTTTTTCACTCGCATTCACTGAGAGATTTAAATAAATTTGAAAAATAAAATATTGCCCCTGACTCTATTAAAAATTTAAGCAAACAAAAGATACATATAAACGTAATGTAACAAAAATATAAAGACTAATATAAAATAGCGAGTTTTGTAATAAAATGCAAAATATGTTTGGGACGACAACAATTATTTAGTTATCGAATCGTATTTTAGTTTTGAAAGGGTCAGAGATAAGAACCCGAAAATGTATTTCAAAATTGGAATTATCAATTCCATCTACGATAGTGGAGGATTTGGACAATTCACTGATTATGCAGATGTAAACGCTCCGTGAAACAACGGCCGAACTCATTTGGGTTTGTTTATAATAATAATTTAAGTATCATAGTGATAAGTTTCTTGTTTAAATATCGTTATTTCTATCAGCTTGATTTTTATAAAAATACTAGCTGACTCGGCAAACGTTGTTTTACCATATACATACATTATTTCGAAAATTATATATGACCATTTATCGTACTCCAATTATTATATTCGATTGCCATTTTGCAATCCTATTGCGGCATATAAAAATCGCGATTAAAAAATAGGGGTTGATCGTAAAAGCGTGAAAATTTGAATTTGTATGTATTTTTCAATGCTAAATCATATTTAAATAAAAATTAAAAAATTTGTCAAAAAAATATAAAAAAAATTTTTAGGGGTGGGTCATCCTTATCATTGAGGGGTATAAAAAATAGATGTTGGCCGATTCTCAGACTTACCCAATATGTACACAAAATTTCATGAAAATCGTTAAAGCCGTTTCGGAGGAGTTTGGTAACAAACACCGTGACACGAGAATTTTATATATTAGATTACAAATGTGACAGTTTGTTAAAATGTTTATTTGTTACTGTATAATGAACTATGCAGTTTGAACGCGTTCGATTGATTTGATTTAGATTTTAAATTAATACGTATAACGTTAACAAAGATTTTTAAAAGACGTTGTGAATCTTTTGAGTTTCTTGTAGTTTCTTCTCAACAGATAATTACCCTAAAACAACAATAGAATCATAAAAATAGTCCATTTATGGAGATTTTGTATAAGCTTTGTATTTTGTATAAATAAAGTTTATTTTGAGATAATTTGTTTCGAATGAAATTTGATTCACAAATTTTGGCATTCTTAAACAATTTTGTTCTCTATTTTGCTCTAGGTATGTAAATTTATTATACCTATTTACAAAGACGAATTTTTCAATCGACTCCGAGTTAAGAGCCACAGTTTTATACAATTAATTACTTGAATATTACTTGTGAAAAGAGCTGTAAATAATAAAACGTCGAGTGAGCTAACGGACGGTGGCAATTGTATCGGCTCTTTTGTTCCAATCGAGTGTAAACAAAACGAAATGTTACGCCATTGAAAAGTTTCGCGTCGACTTTGTAAATTGTAGCTAATCATTGTTTGCTGGCAGCCCTGCCAATAGGCTCATTGTACTAACAATAATTGGCATTTTGTAAAATCTCCTTAAATATCAGTAAATAAGAGATTTCGAGTCGACAAACTTTAGCATTGTGCTCAGTAATACTTAATACTCAATAAGCATAATTGAATATTATAAAATAACATGTCTTTTTTTATACAATTTGAAATGTCAACCAATTTTATGGCCCACCTAAAGGGAAATGGCCGCCGTTGTCTATAGATATGAATAAAAATACAGTTATTACATAAGATGGTTTCTCATAAAAACCTACTTCAATTCCTAAACTCAGTTCCTTTGACTAAAAACTCTTTTGTAATGCAATTCTGTTTTGCAATAATGTGAGCTAAATAAATTAGTATTCTTAAGGAAAATGAGTGGTATGAACCGTTGTCTGTTCGCTTCTGAACATAGGTCTCATCCATAAGGAGGGTTTTGCTAGAAGTTGCTACGCTTCGTAGACGGATTGGCAACCGCAGACTTTTAGTGATGTTTTAAGAGGGACGCTGCTGCCCATCTCTGTACCATTAACTTCTCTTAGTCGCCTTTTACGACACCCATAGGAAAGGAAGAGATGCCCATTCTATTTCGGGACCATATGGCGAACTTTTACAACTTCGTCACCACACACACTCAAACGTAATATTATTACCCCTATATTATTATTCATGCAGGAAAATCTGTAGGTTACAGCTTGTAAGTTGGTAATTTAAAAATTACTCGTCAAGGTGTCTTCTAAAACATCGCTGGGGACGTAATCCTCGCCCCTTCAGAAAGGCGCTGGGTAGCATTCACGGCGGATTCCTCGTCGCCCTTAATGGCACGCTAATGGGTATAATCGAATGAAGACTCGATTATCGCCGTCTTACAGCGATTAGTAATCGATCCGGGGATTTGACAAACAAATTAATTAAAGCGTCCCCCGTTCATCTCTGTTTAGTGTATCGGAGATAAGATGTGTCGATTGTCTGAGGGGTGATAGCGTCAAGACAGAAATTTATAAATATTTATAAAATATACTAGATCTTTTCGTGTTTCTGCCGTGAAACATTTGTGTTTGCATGGCTGTGTTTCAGTTTGAAGGGCGAGATATGGCAATGAAATTATAGAATACAGAGGTATAATACCTTAGTTCTCAGGAATAGTAATACATGTTTTTTTTTTTTTTATACCACTGAGGTGGCAAACAAGCATACGGCCCACCTGATGGTAAGCGGTTACCGTAGCCTATGAACGCCTGCAATACCAGAGGTATTACGCGCGCGTTGCCGACCCTGAAGAAACCTCTTTACCCCCTTTTGAAGAACCCCATGCTGTAGTCTCTCGGGAAAACCTCGGCAGGGAGCTCATTCCATAACCTGAGTGTTCGTGGGAGAAAGCATCTCTGAAACCGCGTTGTACGCGACCATTTAGGCTGTAAGGTATGAGGGTGAACTCCCTGCCGATGGCGAGCCGTACGATGATAGAAAGTGGCCGTAGGCATCATATTGAATAATTCCTCTGAGCACAATCCGTTGTATAAGCGGTAGAACACGCAGAGGCAAAATCTCTCCTAAGACTTAAGGGTTCGATACCGCTTGCAAGCATGGGATCATCGACAATTCTCATAGCTCGTCGTTGCACTGAGTCGAAGGGTTCAAGCTGGTATCTAGGTGCTCCCGCCCATAAGTGACAGCAATACTCCATATGGGGCCGGATTTGCGATTTGTAAAGCATTAATCGCTGATCCGGCGTGAAGTAATGCTTCGCTCTATTGAGCACACCGAGTTTTTTGGATGCCAGCTTCACCTTATCTTCGAGGTGGCCACGGAACTGTACGTCACTAGAGATGTCGACACCAAGGATCCCAATGCTTTTAGAGATGTTAAGAGACGTGCCTTGGAACTGTGGGGCCACAACAAATGGGGTTTTTTTAGCGGTGAACGCGCAAGCTTGTGTCTTAGAGGGGTTAAATTGGACCAAGTTTTGTCGTCCCCAATCAGAGACTCCAGTTAGTGTTCTCTCGATTTCAGACACAAGCTGTTCACGATTGTTCTCCACGATGGAACGGGAGACATTGGTACGACCCGTATAAAGGGCATCCCCGGTGCTATCATCCGCATAACAATGAATGCTACCGAAGGTTAACATATCATTAATATGCAGTAGAAACAGCGTTGGGGACAGCACAGAGCCCTGCGGGACGCCAGCGTTAATATCCATGCTATCGGAGCAGCAACCATCTACAACGGTTTTTATACGTCTGCCGGATAAAAAACTGGCGACCCATTTACAGAGGCTGTCGGGAAGTCCATAGTAGGGCAATTTCGATAGAAGACCCCGATGCCAGACCCGGTCAAATGCCTTTGCAATATCAAGACCGACAGCGAGCGCCTCACCTTGACTCTCAATGGCTGATGCCCATCGGTGCGTAAGATATACCAAGAGGTCACC